GGTGTGGGCTGCTTGCTTCATTCCCTCCTTATATACCCCGCTCCTTCCCCGGCAGCCCCATTCCTGCGCTCTCAGCCAGGGACTGAAATTGACAGGGGGGAGGGTGTCTGAGGACCCCATTAATGGCTTGCAGAGTTCCACCTGACTTGGGCATTGCAGACGGAGGTCAGCTGTCCATTAAGCTATGGAACTGAACACTCCACTTAGCAGTGTATATGGGACACAGTTAAATAATGAAAATAAAAATAGAACATTGCAAGAGCCTGGGGCAGGCTGGCTTATGCCCCAGGAAGAAGCAGAGAAGGCCATTCCAGGGAGAGGGGAGGGAATTCGCTGTCAGCCGCCCCCTGCCATGAAGCTGCTCTGGTTTAAAATATGTATTTTTCTTTATATATAGGTCATCTTTTGTTAATTTTTAACTTAAAGTTCATATATACGTATACACGCACGCGCCCCAAGTGGAGAAAATCTGTGCTTCTTCGATAGCACGTTGGGAAATTCAGAAAAGTAGAGAGAGGCAGTCTTCCCTCCTCTCCCCCACTCCATATTTCTGGGTGAGGGTGTTCGAGATCTCTGGTACCACCCCAGGAAGGAAAGGGAATGAAAACGGCACCCCTGAGCTCCAGGCTGCACCACCACAATCAGCCAGCAGGGGGCAAGTCAGCCACCTGCCTTCTTACCTAGTCTGGCATTGTCCCTTAGTTTCAGAAGACAACTAATTTAAAAAAGGGGAAAAAAGATCATTATGTCACTTTAAAAATGTGCTGCATATTTATTAAACAAAAGTGGGGAAAATAAATAGTAAAGTAGGAAGAATAAACAAATTTATCCATCCTCTTACTATCAGAGCCACACTCTTAATATTTTTCTATTCGTCATCCCAGATTCTTGATTTACAAATTAGCAAACAAATTATTGATATTTTGCATCCCACTTTTTTTTCGTTTAACACTGTCTTACCATCATTTCCTTCAATGACAACATTGTCACTGAGGACAGGAACTGTCCAGGAATTGTCCATTGAGTGGATAAAGCCCTAGTTCATATAACCCTTCCCGTTCAGAAAGGCATTTTGGTGGTTCCGAGCATTTTGCTACTACAAGCAACAGTGAATAAACACCTTTGTGTATTTTTGTACTTCTGTCTATTTCCGTATCAGCAATTCCCAGAAGTTGAATTTTTGGGACCAAGAGTAATGAACATACATAAGGCTGGATGCATGTTGCCAAGTGACTTTCCAAAAGGGAAACCCCACTTTACTCAGTCACCAGCAGAGTGTGAGTGTTACTCTTTCAGAGGTTGAAGTTGTTGTTTCTAATTGAGCTTTTTCTTTTGAGATCATTGTAGATTCACATGCAATTGTAAGAAATCACACAGAGAGATCCCATGTGCCCTTTACCCGGTTTCCCCCAATGGTAACGTCTACATTACATCACAAAGCAGCACAACCAGAGTTTTGACTTGAATGCAGTCGAGATGCAGCACATTTCCACACCACGGGGACCCCTCCTGTTGACACTGGTCTCCCCCCCGACCCCCCGCCTCTCTCTGGTCTCTGATCCCAGCAACCACTACTCTGTTCTTCCATTTCTTCATTTTTGTCATGTCAGGAATCTTACATAAATGGAATCCTGAGGCAAACTTTTAAAGAAAGTTGTCAAAAAACAGATGAAACAAGATTACAAGCAGAAGAACTAGAGAAAACACATTTTTGAATTGGTTAGTCTCCAGGCCAGCACTGTCCAACAGAAATAGAATACGAGCCATGTGATGTCATTTAAACTTTTCTACACCTGCATTGAAAGAGTATAAAGATATAGTAAAATTAATATATTTTATGTAGCTCAATATGCCATTTCAACATGTAGTCGATGTTCCAAAAACCACCAATGAGATTTTTTTACATTTCTCTGTAGTAAGTCTTAGAAACCTCATGTGTATTTTGTGCTGACAGCGCATCTCAATTTGGACTGGCCACATGTCAAAGCATTCTAGAGCTACATGTAGCCAGTGGCTGCCATATTGAATAGCTTTGCTTTAGTCCAAATTGAACTGAAGACAAACCATGGGGTACATCTCCAGGCTTGTGAGGGTCCCCATGTTGGCTCGTGGCTCTCAACCTTGGCCGCACCTTGGAATCATCTGGAATTTTTTTAATCTTGATGCCTTACCCCAACCCCACCCAAGCAGAGAGTCAGATATGATTGGTCTTGGGAACAACCCAGCATGGGGATTTCTTTTAAACTCCTCAAGTGACACTAACAGGCAGCAGGGATTGAGGGCGACTGGTATAAGGGCTGGAGGTTGTGTCCTGTCCGATCCTGTCTGGCCATGGGATTCTGAGAGAGGCCCTGGGGATGACATTCTCTTTTCTCGTCTCAGTTCCTGACCTGACTTCTTAGAGAGCGGGCCCTTTCCTCAGAAGCAGCTCCTGAAGGTTTCTGTGCCTCCCAGCCCACAGAATCCTAACCCCAATCTCTGCCTTATTCACTGGAGACAGTTATCAAGGCTAGTTTTCAAGGGAGATGCACACAAGCTTCCTCACCCATTGCTCCCAGCCCACTGGCGCCATCTTGTTACCCTGAGTATTTTCCCCACTGGGATCAGCCTCCTTGGTGGCCAGTCTTGCTTCCTTTCTGGATCAAGGAATGAAGATGGACACCGGCGGAGAGCCCACGACCTACTTTATGTCACGGAATCCTCGCAGCCGCCCTGTAAAGAAACGATCATCCCTGTATTATTGATGACGCTCAGACAGGCTCAGTGAGTTGCATGAGGCCCCAGGGCCCCCACTGCGCTTCTGGGCTGGCCTTGACCAAATGGGCCACTGGCAGTATGAACCGAGCAGCCAGAATAAGGCTGAGGTTCATGCTCATCCTGCTTGCACCTCTTTTTCCAGACCAGGGCTCCTCCACACCTGATGGCTCTCGGGCCGTATGTCACTGACTGAGAGGAAGGGAGAGCAGCCCTTGCCTTGCCCACCTTGTCGCCGACCATCCCAGACCCGGTGAAAGGTGACATCCCCCCACCCCTTCTTGGCCCTCAATTCCCTCCCCAGGCTTTTACTTTGTCATCCAGTCAGGAAATATGAAAATCTGTCTAAAAACTCTGTAAGCACTCTGACTTCATCTCTTGAAGGGCGTGAGGCATCTGCTGGGGCACTAGACCTCCAGGGACCCTCCAGGGACCACTGGCCCATCTCCCGGGACTGAGGGAGCCCATGGACTTCCATTCCACACCCCACATGGCCATGGGCCTCCTGACTCACAGGGAGGGCCATGCTCCCAAGCAGGCCGTCGGGGGACCTCAGGTTGGCCTAGACGTTGTTTCATCTTAGGTCATGGGGGCGGGGAGCAGAAAGCAACACGCTGAGAACAAACTCCTCGGAGAAATGCGTCATCCCCTTTTATGCTTCTCTCTCCTCGCCCATCTCGTTCCAGACTATCAGCCTGAGGTGGCTGGCACCTCATCTTCCTTTCCGCACTAACGTTCAGGAGTGCTGGAAATCCGGACTTGGGGCTGTCGTTCCTGGGCCCACAGCAACCTGGCTGGCTCTCTGTCTGACCTAGGGCTTGGGACTCAGTGAGCCAGGGCTGGGCCGCGTGGACAGGGGCAGGGGATGGGGGTGGGGCGAGGGGAGGCCCGACTCTGCGGGCCACACGCCATCAGAATCCTGAGTTATGCTAAAATATGCCAGAGGCTGGGAAGCGGTGCTTGGTAGGAGGTGTTTATGACAGAGCATGCACGGGGTGCTTTGTAACCTGGCCAGGCCACGTGGATTATCTTGCGAGAGTCCTCAAGCAGCAGCGTGCCCCTCGGGGGGAGGCCTGCCCTTTGCCAGGCTCCCAGCTCGCCTCTGGTCCCCAGGGCAGTCCAGGCAGCTTCTCCAAAGCCAGACCTGTTTTCCTCCCCAGGCTGCCCCCACCTCTCCTTTCTGCCTTCTCCCAGAAGAAGGAATCAGCAGCAGAAGAAATATCTCCCCTGAAACCTAAATACGCTAAGCATGGAGGGGGGCTGGCCGTGGCCAAGAATAGCTCTGAGTGTCCAGCAGGAAACACTCAGTTGCTTTTTTCTGCTTTCCTCCTCTCTTCCTCCTCCTCCGTGATCACTATTTATATCACTACTTTTTATAAGGAAAATCTCTGGCTTGTCCATCCACCTGAGTGATGCAAAGACCAAGGACCAAAGGACTTGAAACCTTCAGCCCTTTTATCTTCGGCAAGAGGCTGATTGTGTTGAGAAAAAAAATCAGAACAAAGTTTGCACTTGACAGTCAGGAGTCTCCACTTTTTGGAAGCGAGTTTCCAAGGTGGTGAGCTAAGCACTCTGGAAACCTAAGCAGGGCATCCCTACGAGAACCCGTCCGAGGGATGAACAAGAGGCAGTCCAGCATAGCAGAGGGTAAGGCCAGGTACCTCGGTTCAAGTCCCAGCTCCCCTGCTTTCTGGCTGGGTGACCCCGACCCAAATGGAAACCCAAATCCTCTTTAGAAAAGACAGAGTTGCATACTTCACCAAACCCCCCAAATGGCTTAACCACCAACCCCCCACCTATAAAGTGGGGATAATGACCAGGGTTAAGATGAGCTTACTATGTGCCAGGCTACTGTTCTTATTTTAAACTAGATGCATTTAAACTAGCTCATATAATCCTCATTACCCTATGAAGATGTTTCTACTAGTATTATCCTTATTTTATTTTAATTTTTTTAATTTTTTTATTTTTAAAGATTTTATTTATTCATTTGAGACACAGAGATACAGAGAGAGAGAGAGCATGAGCAGGGGGGCAGGCAGAGGGAGAGGGAGAAGCAGGCTCCCCGCTGAGCAGGGAGCCCGACATGGGACTCGATCCCAGGACCCTGGGATCATGACCTGAGCCGAAGGCAGACGCTTAACCATCTGAGCCACCCAGGCGCCCTTATCCTTATTTTAATAACCGTGCCTACTGCAAGGGGTTGTTGCAAGGATGAAGTGAATTAATCCGTGTAAATTGCTTAGAGCCGTGTCTGGGTCAGCCTGCAGGAATCGGGGAGCAGAGGTGTGCACAGGTGAGAGAAGCAAGCAGACCCCAAATCAGGGAAGCTGAGGACAGGAGAAAACTCTGGGCCCAGCTCCCTCTGCAAGCTCTTGCAGACTGGATCTGATAGATGGCCAGTGTCCCCCAAATTAGATCAAGCCTGAACATTTTTCCTGTCTACACGTATTAAGACACGGGGCACGGAGTTGTTTTTCATTTCTGGCTGGCTTGTACTGCGCCCAGTAGCTGTGGGGGCAGAGTGATGTTACAGCTCCTCCATGCTGCCAGCCGTGTGAACGGGAGGAGGTGGCCACACGAGTGGGCTTCTGTCAACAATTAAGACTTTGTGCCACTGAATGATGTAGTTTGCAGCTCTTGTTGCTGCTCTATTTAAGTGGAATCTAAAAGAAGAAGGAGGGACGCCTGGGTGGCTCAGTTGGTTAAGCGTCTGCCTTCGGCTCAGGCCATGATCCCAGGGTTCTGGAATCAAGCCCCGCGTCGGGCTCCGTGCTCTGCGGGGAGCCTGCTTCTCCCTCTGCCTCTGCCACGCCCCTGGCTTGTGCTCTCTCTCTCTCTCTCTCTCTGACAAATAAATAAATAAAACCTTTAAAAAAATAAAAGAAGAAGGAAGTATGCAACCCTGTCTTTTCTAAAGAGGATTTGGGTTTCCTGCAAAATAAGAATCCATGTGTGCTAGGGTGGAAGTTAGGGGGGGCAGCTCCTTTCACGTGGGGCTGGTGGGAGGGCTGGCCAGGACTTCTGCTGGCGGGGTCCCTGATGTGCCACACAGTGAGGGTGTGGCTGCGTGGGGCGGAGGGGAGGGTGTGCCTATGGCTCGTGGCGAGTGGCAGGGCTGGGAGCTCCAAGGTGCCCACACATTTACCAGAACCCACCTCTGTGTTGTTGAAGAGAGTAGAATTCTTTACATTCGTGGGCTAAATGCAAAAGAGGACTGGTCTCCATCACCGCCTGGGGGAGAAATGCCCAGAGCCTGGGTTTGGGGGCCGGACACACCTAAGTTTGAATCTAATCTCTGTCACTTTATGAGCTGAGTGACCACTGTGTCTTCTAGGTAAAGAAAGAATAATAATGTGACTTGGCAAGGTAGATCTCAGGCTGAGATTATGGATGCTCAGCAGATAAATGGGCCCCGCCAGTGGCAAACTGCCATCACCCTCTTCATCATCATGGTCATTGTTTGTCCTTTTCTGATGTCCACGTTCCACGGTCTTCAGTGCATGTTTGCGCCTGGCGTGCATTCATAATGTGGGCATGTGAACTAAAAATAACCGTCTCCGTTACCTGCAAAGCTCTTAAATCAGCCACAGTGATGAGTGCCCTACACACCCCTCCTTTTATTGAGGGCTTCCATTCTGAGCGCCTTAATATGTATCAGTTCACTAGTCCCTGAAGCCCCCCGTGAAGAAACATTGCTATAATCCCATTCTACAGGCGAGGAAGCCATCTGAGTAAGTCTTTATGGGAATCATTCAATGAAATCCTCAGACAGCCCACCAAAGCAGGTATCTCTCCAGCCAGGAACTGAATCTGAAACTTTGATTCATTGAGCCACAGAAGGGATGGATGGCTAGAGAAAAGGGATAGAGGAAATGGAGCTCTTGTCCCACCCAAGTCCCTGTGGGGGGGAGGGAGGCTCAGCAAATGGGCAGAGGTGGTGGGGAGCCACCAAGAGGGAGTGGCGACACCCTGACTTAGAGGAGAGCGACAGCCCACCCATGTGCCCCCTGCTGGACCCCTTGCTATCGGCATCCCCTCCCGACTGCTCAGTCCGGCTCCCCTTCTCTTCAGGCTGCACTGAAGGTGGGACCTCAGCCTCCTTACGACTCACACAGGGAGGCCATTGTCATGTTCTCATTTCTGCCCCATCAGGTGGTGGATCAACATGGGGGGACCTGCCCAAAAGGAGGAAGAGGAAAGGGCACTGATCTCGTTCTCTTCCTCCTCAAAACATTGCCTTCAGTGGGAGTTGCTGGTGTTCAACCTAAAGCCCCTGCACACGTACCTGTGGGATGTAATCACAAGGCAGCCCTCCTCCCCTTTTTTTACATTGATTCAGGGGGACTGGTTCTTCCCTTGGCTCCAGATGAACGCTGAAGCAACCTGTATGGCTCTTCTGGTCTCTCAGGAATGCAAAGTTCCCCAGCCAGGAACTCAACTGTCCAGTCCCAAATGACAGCCAATCCTTCCAACTTTAGGCAAAATGACGGCAATTGTCCACCCTCAGCTCAGCTGTGTTGTGGTGGGAAGCCTTTCAAAGCCCTGCAGAGGGGTATAGCTGGCCCCTTTTCTTCTTTGCTGCACCCCTCCCTCATGCTGCAGGCGTGGAGGGGGGACAGGAAGAGGAGGCAGGAGAGGTAGAATTCTCACCTGACGGGTATAGTAGTCATGACATGGCATAGACTCTCTGGATTTGGGAGTGTTCAAGGCTGGGTCTTTTTACCACTGTCCTTTCCTTGGGTTCTTCAGAGACACACAAACACCCTCCCATCCCCAGTGCCTTCTAATTTGTAATTCCCTTCATGTGGGTTTTGCATGCTCACATGGTTCCTTCCTCAAACTCTTGGAAATCCAGTGGTTTCCCCCCCAGCTTCTCTCTGCGGAGCTCCTTCCCCCTTCCTGGCAGCCATCTTGGGTGGCAGCCATCTTGGGTAGGACCCTAGTCACTTCCATGCTAGTGCTACGCTCTCGGGCTTGGCCCACTGGGCTATAGAAATGCTCCTACATCCCTTGCCCCCACAGGGCAGTGCAACCAACAACAGAGCAGCAGTGAACTCTCCTTCCCTCCTACCACCACAGCAAGTAGCCAACATCTCTCTCGTTTTAGATCTTCTAGGTCAGAGTCACCCTCCAGGTCACTGGACTCCCAGCATACATTGAATCCTCTCACTAAACTTGAGGTTTGGGGCAGGGATTTCCCATCGTCCTGCCCTCTGTGGGATAAGGTATGTTTAACAACAAGGGGCACTGCTGTAACCCTTTCACACGTTCTTCTTCACAAATCTCTCACTATCTTCAATTCAGTTAACGGTTTCACCATCAGTGTGGATGAGAACTTTAAGTTCCTCGTCACCCCACTACTCTAAGTCTTCTAGGGTGCTCTGCTCACTATTTTGGAATATTGTACCTACTATCTTAGGGATTTCATGCGCTCTCTCTTTTTTGGACTCTTTTTCTATATCTATATACATGTAATTTAGAGATAGATATACAGAAATATACATGTATACTATATAAATATGTGTATATAAATACAGTAAAATATAAAAAATATTTTATATATATAAAAAATACATAGTATATATGATTTTTTTTTTTTTTACTCAAGAGTATCATACTGTACATGATTTCCTGGATTTTTTGCATTTAACACTTAATAATTAATCTTGGAGAGCTCTCCATGTTGAACATACAGAGCTTTCTCATACTTAATAGCTACAGAGTATTCATTCTCTTATATGGCTGAATCCCAGTTTATTTAACCAGCTCCCCCATTGGTCATTTAAGTTGCTTGCTGTGCATGTGTGCTGTGGAGATATCCTTCCACATACATCTTTGTATAGTGTTGTGAATATATCCGTAGAGTCCATTCCTGGCAGAATTTGTAGGTCATGCAGTAATTGCATTTTTAGTTTTCATGGGTTTCCTCGAATAGATCTGCATATTCACTTTCACCAAGTGTATATGAGAGTGTCTGTTTCTCACAACCTTGCTAGCCCTGGATATTCATTCATTCATTCATTTATTCATTCATTCATTCTTCCTTTCTCTTTGTCTCTGTCTCTGTTTTGCTGGGGGTTTGCCAATTACACTAGAGGAATTTTTTTACTAGAGGCTTGTTTTCATTAATTTCTACTATCTTATTGTTTTCTTCCTCCTATTTGGAGAGGGTTTTGTTTTTGTTTTTCGGTTGTTTTTATTTTATTTTTTTTTTTTGCATTTTTTTTCTATCTTCTTGAGATAGATAATTGAATCATTTACTTTTTTTTTTCCTAATACATGCTCTTAAGGCTATAATTTTCCTTCTAGCCTAACTTTGCTTTATGTCACAAGTTTTGATAAGTCATGTTTTCATCATCATTCAGTTCAACAAAGAGAAAATCTTAAAATTAGAGGAAAAAGGCACATTAGCTTCAGAGTAATTCTACATATATTTTAAACCCACTAGATAGTATTATTTTTCCTTTTTACACTCACTGTTTTATCTTAACCCACATAATTACCCTTTTCATTCTTCTTCTTTCCTGTATTTCTGTGCTTTAGTACCAGATCATTCTGCTTGAAGAATCTCTTGAGTATTTTTTAAAGATTTATTTATTTATTTGAGAGAGGGAGGGAGAGAGAGAGCATGAGCAGGGGGGCACGGGGGGCATGGAGCCTCTTAAGGTTCTCTCTCTCGCTCTCTCTCTTTCTCTCTCTCTCCCCATTCCTTCCCTCTCTCCTTCTCTAAACAAACAAAAAGAACAAAAACCTTAAAAGCATTTTTCAGGAGGGGCAGAGGGAGAGGGAAAGAGGGAGCAGACTCCCCAGTGAGCAGCCCGACATGGGGCTCAGTCCCAAGACCCTGAGATCACAGCCCAAGCCAAAACCAAGGGTCGGATGCTTAACCAACTGAGCCACCCAGGTGCCCCAGTATTTATTCTGATGCAACTTTGCTGATGACAGATTTCCTCGGTTTTCATTTTTCTGAAATTATTTTTTTATTTTGCCTTCAATGTTGAAGGATATTTTTGCTGGGTATGAAATTCTAGGTTGATGATTGCTTTCTTAAAGCACTTTTAAAGTGTCATCATGTTATGTCATGACTTGCATCATTCCTGTTTCTGATGTCTCTTTTGTTTGGTCATAGTCTTGCTTCTTCATGTGTCTTGTAATTTTTTACTGAATGCTACACATTTTAATGCAAAATTGTAGAAGTTCTTAATGGTGTTATCTTCCCGCAAATAGGATTTACTTTTGTTTTGGGCAGTCTGTTAGATTAGAGAAGATTGCCTACATCCAATATGAATTGACCTGATTTTAAATAGGCTTCAGTCTTGTGGAAGCTAATCTCTTGTTCACCTGCAGTGTAAGACTTCCCAGGTCCTCTGTTTGAAAGATTGGGCTGTTTATCAGACCTGCCCTTCTTGGTGAGGCCTGAACACTGATTATTGACTTTGTAGCATCGTGAGTCTGCTATAAGAGCCTGATAGCCTTTTTCTCAGCCTCTCAGACCCACACTATGAATTGGCACATGCTTCAAGTGGAAAAGTTGTGCAACATGTTGGGCTTATTTGTGTCAATGCCTTTCCTTTATCTTCAGATCTTGACCTCTAAAATCTTGGTTTCTTTGATTCCTCTACAATGTGTTCAAACAGATATTTTTCATTTTATAAAGCATTCTAGTTATTTTCACAGGAAGGTTGATCTAATACAAGCTAGTTCATCATAGCCAGAAATGGAAGTCTAAAATCTCTTTTTAAGTTTCATTTAATGATTTGTTTTATTTTATTTTTTCATCAACATGAATCTGTTTTAATTGTTGTAGCTAATAGTAAGCATAAATATCTGGTAGGTCCCACTCATCTCTCTTTATATTTAAAAGGAATTTTCAGGGGTGCCTGGGTGGCTCAGTCAGTTAAATGTCCGACTCTTGATTTTGGCTCAGGACATGATCTCAGGGTTTTGAGATCAAGCCCTTTGTCAGGCTCTGTATGGGGGGCATGGAGCCTCTTAAGTTTCTCTCTCTTGCTCTCTCTTTCTCTCTCTCTCTCTCTCCACTCCTTCCCTCTCTCCTTCTCTAAACAAACAAACAAACAAAAAGAACAAAAACCTTAAAAGGATTTTTCAGGCTCCTCTCAAATGCTTTTTATTATTCTAACCCCAGATTCATATGTCATTTTTCTAAAGAGAACTCATTGCATTGAATTCATCAATTAATTTAGAGAGAGTTGACATTTTTATGACATTGTCTCCCTACCTAAAAACATGATATATTATTTTATTTATGAGTCTTCTTTTATGTTTATTGATAGTTTGAAGGTTTTTTTTATATAGCACTAGCACATAACTTGTTAGGTTTATTACCCTATAGTTTACCATTTTGTTGCTACATAGACAGCATTATATTTTCCAACTGTATTAAAGCTGTTGGTTTTTATATGTTTTTATATGTTATTATGTGTCCACCCATTTATTTCAATGCCTACAGGTTTCAAGTCTTGAGGTGACACACTTCCTTCTGATGCTGAGCCTCTAATGTACTTGACACAAATATTCAATACACATTTGCTAATGTTATATTTATTTTCTGTATCTACAGAAACACCACTGTGCCCACCTTGAAGACACCTTTTACATGACCATTCAGAGCACTTTAGCTCCTTGAATGTGAAGAACCTAATATCTCTCCAATCCAAATGCCTTAGATGATAGGGAGGTAAGAGAGGGTAGGAATTTGGCAGAGATAGAAATGAAGGCAATTCTGCAGGCAACAGTTGCCATGATAAGAGGGAAATTGGAGAACTGGATGGAGATGAGAAAGCCTGGGACATTTTGCCCCTTTTCAGGGACAGTTGTACCCCATTAATTCTGCCTTGTTGTTCACTGCTTTTTGGGTGTCAGGCGGTGGCACTTTCCAACTGCAGCATTGTACAGAGATGGCCTGAGGTGGCCCAGCCTTATTTGATTACACTTGTATAAATCCTCACAACAATTCTTCTGAAGCTTTCCATTTTACAGATGAAGATACTGAGGTTCAGAGTGGTCATGTGACTTGCCCAGGATGTGACATGGGAGAACTGGCATTCCAACTCAGATTTGCCTGGTCCCAAAGCCCATGTGCCATTGACTCCCCAACATAGCTGTAAAGTCTAGGATTAAACTATGACCCTCAGGCCACCTGGAATTTATGTCATACTTAGGTAGTGAGAAGGAGATGCTAATTAAGTGAATTATAGTTATTTTGGTAACTTCTGCCTTAGAACAAATTACCGCAGAACCCAATGGTATAAAACAACAATACCAGGGGCTCCGTCGGTTAAGCGTCCAACCCTTGATTTCAGCTCAGATCTTGGTCTCGGGGTCGTTAGTTCAGGCCCCTGAAAAACAAAACAAAACAAAAAACAACTATCATATTCTCCTGATTTTGTGGGGCAGGAATCTGGGAAGTGCTCAGCTGTGCTGTTCTTGTTTGGAGTTTGTCCGGCAGGTGCACTCAGACCATTGGCTGGGGCTGCTGTGATCAGAAGGTTCCACTGGGCTGGGTGTGTCCAGGGTGGCCCAGTCCCATGGCTGGGAGCTCAGCTGAGGCTGCCAACCAGAACACCTACTTGTGGTCTCCAAGGCAATGGTTCTCCACCAGGGGTGATTTTGCCACCCAGGGGCATTCGTGTCTATTCACAGCAGGGGTGCACTAGCATCTGGTGGATGGAGGCCAGAGATGCTGCTGACCATCCTGCCGTGCACATCCCAGCTCCCCACCACAAGGTTGTGTCCAGCCCAAAACGTCAATAGGGCCAAGGTTGAGAAACCCTGCTCCAAAGCTTGGTGATCTCGGGCAAGTCGGACTTCTCACCTGGGCACTGGCTTCCCCTGGCAAGGGATCCCCAGAGAACCAGGCAGAAACTGCATCTCCTCCTGTGACCCAGCCTCAGAAGTCACATGGCGTCACTTCCATGGACTCTGTTGGTCAAAGTCATCACAAACCTGCCTTGACTCAAGGGGAGGAGAGGGGTATGGATCCCACCTCTCAATGGGAAGAGTGTCAAAGAATTTGTGGTCACTTATTAACCACCATAGAATGTAATGGGGGGCAGCACGAGGGGAAGCAGGCAGAGCCACAGACCCACTGAGGGCTGTCCTCTGGTCACCAGCTCATTCTGCTGGGTGTTGGCCAAGCTGACGCTGAGTCACTTAGACCCGCTTGCAGGAGCAGCTGCTGTAACTGGCTCGGAAGCCCTGTCAAGAACCCCCAAACCCCAAACCCTTCATCAAGCACTACAGGGTTTTCTCTGGGTTCATGGGAAACCGAGATCAGGATGTCTGCATTGGATTATCCTCCACTTCTTTTCTCCTCCCCGGTTGAAACCTGTCCACCCCGCCACACACACTCCCAGTTCCCAACTGGGCGCTCACTCGTGCCTATAAGCTCACCTATCTCTGAGCACCTAAGCACTTCATTATTGGCTTGGGCAGAGAAATGTGCCATTAGTGATTTAATCTCCACAAGACATTTCTCCCTAATTGCTAGTCACAGATGATAATTAGCGACTGTTAATTCCTGATAATTAACAAGCTAATTCTTAGAGGTAATGGCACCAGGGCGATCATCTTAAAAGGCTCAAAGCTGCCGTGCTTCTGGGCCCCAAGCTCCAAGGGATGACAATGCATTTTGGCATCTCTAGCCCAGAAATTAACTGGGGACCTTCCATTTCTGTTTACAAGGGCAGCAGTTGGACAATTGATGACTCTAATCTTTAGTTTTCCTCTCTGGATATATGGGTTTTTTTTTTTTTTTTTAGAAGCTTTGTCGAGCACAGAACACTCTAAAGAAAATCAAATACACGTAATCTTAAGAACTGGAAGTATCCACCATCAACATTTTGGTTTATTTTTTCCTAATCTATGAATTTGTTTTATAGTTGAGGTCCTGGCAAACATCGGGTTTTACCTCCAGCTTTATTCACTTAATATTATAGAGTAAACATCTTGTCTGGTGGTAGCAACTTATAAAAAAAAGGTCTGCCTCCCCCATGAGAAGAATCAACTGGATGCTATAGCCGAGGGAGAGGATTCGTGAGAAGGAGAAACAACCATGGAAAAGCAAAGATCTGATTATGTGGGAACTGGGAATCCATTCCCAACCAGAGTGTCTTCAGGGGACCGCTGTCCCTGCCCCACCCACTGAAGATATTGGCTGGAAGAATCTGTGAGCAAGCACACAGTCACACGGGAGAAAGGCTGGGAACTAAGATGTGAATGGTGGTGTTGCTTTCAGAGTGGGCAGGTGCATGAATTTTCCTCCTCTGCCTTATGATTTTCTGTACAGCACAGAGAAAAAAGCACTGGATCAGCATTCAGAAGATTTCCAGTCCACACTCTTGTCCCTCCACAGAACTGGCCGTAGGATCTCAGGTAAATCTCTCCTCTGGACCCTGGTTTTCTAAAATGTGCTTTGAGGGAAACGTTAGTCTTCCTGCCCTGAAAGGTGGTTTTGGGAATCAGAAATGCTGGGTTAGAGTTCGCCTCTCAATATGAGAGGATATGCCGGCTGACTCCCCCAAAGTAAACCCAGGAGGGTCAGGAGACAACCTTTATGTAACACTAGGCTATTTCCAAAGACAATCTTCCGAAATACTGTGTCCTATGCATTTCTAGATTCCCCAGTGACCTGCTCTGGATGTGCTTCTTCACCCCAAGTTTCTTGAACCTGTTTATTCCTTCAGCAGGGAGATGATGTAGCCGGAGCATAAACCTGGGAATTAGACCTAAATTTAAATCAATCATAGGTCACGGGTGTCAGCCACCTGTGACGTCCTGTAGGCTATGGAACATGTCTGAGCCTCAGTTTCCCCATCCATGAAATGGGGGCATATACCCCTACTACTTATGGGGTTGTTGTCAGGTCCCAATGAGGTACTGTACACAAAGGGCTTTTCCATACTCAGCTCATGATATTTATTTGTACATAAATACGATTGCAGAACAGAAGCACAAATAAAACTGTGTAATGGGTAAGAGGACCATTTCTCGCTCTGCGTGGCGTCCCCCAGATTTGTTACACACTCTGGAAAGGGACTTTTCCCTTTGCCCAAGCTCACCCCAGGCTTCGCGGTCTGCTTCTGCAGTGTGGCTGGCGGGTCCACTTCAGCCTCTTCCTTTCTCTCCTGCATGTATAGCTTCAGATGCAATCTCCTCTCCACCTTCCCCTCCCCAGATCTCTCAGATCTGAGTCTTTTTTTGTCTCTCTGCCAAGCTTACTGTTAAAATTGGCCGGTCAGCCGTGATCTGTGCGCCCTGCAAGGCGGGGGGCTGGTTACCCCATTGCTGTGTGATGCTAATTCCTTACAAAGCACGCTGCATCTGTGCTGCGTTTAATCCCCCAGCAAGTTCATGGAGTGGCCTAGTGAGAGCTTGGTATTCTTCACGCGGGGGCGGGGGGGTGGGCAGCATTCGCAAAGTGGGTACCACAGAAACAGACACCATCTTGTGGACACAGAAGTTCGGGAAACACCGCAGTGAGCGAAACTGCACACGCTTTTCAGGCCTGTAACATATTAATGTGCAACGTGATTCTTCAAGACCTAGATGCAGTACTTCCCATGCTTTTTTCCCATCAGAGTCCTTTTTACTAGAATAGTGCTCCATGGAACCCGCTTTGCAAACCACTCGTAGAGGTGGCATGGGAAAGGTCTCGGGAATGGGGCAGGGTAGAGTTCAAAGGCAGGCACCACCACTTGCTAGCTGAGTGATCTTCGGCAAGTTTTTTAACCTTTCTGATCCTCAATTTGTTCACCTATAAAGGGGGGATGGTAACAGGTTGTAAGGATTAAAAGAGAGAGTCAAGTGCTTAGCAGAATGCCTAACAGTGGAGAACATTCAATATACTTTGGCTTTTATTGTTATTCTCTTCGAGAAAAAAATGGCCCTCCGAAAGGTTACTGTTTCAACACGACGCGGCTAGTTAGTGACCGGGCTGTGTCCGGGTGTCCCACCTCTCCCTTCAAGGCTCTTCGCAGCGTACAGAGCTGTTGTTCTCTTTGGGGATCGAATCCCTTTTTCTCCTCTCCTTCCCTTCCCCCCCCCCACAACCACCCATGGGCTTCTAATTCCCTTCCCTCTGGCAGATTCGGGGTTTTGCAAGCCTCAGAAATGAGGGAAAGTACTGCAAACTGCTATAAAAGTCTTAGTTATCATTCCCTCGTCACTACCCATCCCAGCAGGTCCAGGCGGCCACTTCCCTGGGGCTCCTGCAGGCAGCCTGCCCCGCCGCCCTCCCCTCCCCCGGGGGCCCCGGGGTTCTGCCTGTGATGATGGGGTCACAGAGCAGAGTAGGTGCCTTATTAGATGCGGGTAACCCAGTCGGGAGCCGAGCCGTCCCACCCTTTTTCCCACCCCACTGCGTGCAGAACGACTTGGCTTGTTGGTGGGGCTGGCTGTTTGGGGATTTTCTTTTTCCCTCCTTTGTCAAAGCCGGTATGGGAAGGATGGTGGACAGGAGGCCTTTGCCCCCAGGCTCTCACGCACACCCCCAGGAAGCCAGCGTGGGGCTCGCTCCACAGCTGCGTAAACTCAGCTGGGCCGAAGCTATGGAACCAGGGGCCCTTCATCCCCCTTTGTCGCGCAGAGCACCCACTGTTCCTCCCCTTCTCCCACAGCAAGCTCAGGCTTCACAGACGAATCAAGCCTCCTGACCTGAGCGTGGCTTCTGTCCCTTCTCCGCGGGCTCAGCCCAGACGTACCCGTGTCTCGGCTGGGATAGGGCCCTGAGGTGGGTGACCCCACCTCCCCATCACAGGCGCTGTGGCACTTGACTCTTTCCTGACCATTAACATTTCAGAATTTCTGACTTTGTAGGACTGACGGCGAAAGGGCCCGTGAGAGACGCTGCCGGCCTGGCAACTTTGCAGGCATATGACTTGCTCTGCTGGCCCCCTCCCCTTCTAGAAATGGCTCTGCCTGCCCCCTACAGCCCCCTAGGTGACCCTCTTCTGGGCTCTCATCATATCCTGCCTTCCCCCATCATAGCACTTCCTGCGTTGTAGCGTGGTTTCTTGTTGGCTGGCTCAGAGCCCCTCAGACTTCAGCAGATCCACAGCTCACCTAGATCTTGTTAAAATACAGATTCTGGTTAAGAAAGTTGGAAGGCCCTGGGATTCTGCCTTTCTGACAAACTCTGGGTTGAGGCTGATGCTGCTGGTCCATGGATCACACTCTGAGGAGCAAAGATCAGTTGTTTTCCACTTGGGCTGCACATTAGAATCGCCGAGAGCACCTGCAGGATACCCCTGCCCCCGTAGGAGGCCAGCTGCCCCAGAGTCCCTCAGAGGGACACCCAGGCTGGAGGGATTTTTAGATGCTCCCCAGATGTTTCTAGATGGCGACCAGTGTCCAGAAGCCCTGAGCTGGGCTGTGGGCTCTGTAGAGGCTGGCTTCTGTCTGCCCCTACTGTCAGTCTTTCCCTGCGCGAGCCCACGCCTGGCCATGGCAGCTATCAGTAGGGGGTTCACGGCTCCCCTTGCATAGACTCTTGGCCTCTGGCTGGTTCAGAGCTGGCTCCCACCAGTACCACCTGCTGAGCCCGCAAGGTCAGTTGGGTTTAGAGGCCCATTGGCTTTGGACTGTGGTGTGGCTTCTTGACTTGGGCTGACCCAGAACTACAGCTCATTGGAGTCCATGAGGAAGACACCTTCCCAAGAGGCCTTCTCTGCCCCTCTGCCTTTTCTTAAGGCCACTGCTGCTTCCCCCTCTGCATCCTGCTCAGAGTCCTTCTTAACACAGAGAAGTCCACCCCCGCAGAGTTCATGCCTCCATGGGAGATCATGGGAACTCTTCGAGGGCAAGGAGAGTGTGCTGTTCATCTTGTCTTCCATGTGGGCACAGTGGGCTGCTGCAGATGAATGAATGAATGGTGTTATCCAGCAAGGGGGGCTGCGAGAGAGGAAAGGAGGACCCTTGTAGTAGCCTGTTCAGAAAGCTGTGAATTCCTGAGGGGGAGAGGAAGCACCCCCATAGTGGCCTGGCATCCAGGAGCTGGCCTGGGGGTCTTTCTGTATCCAGTTAGCCGAGCGGGGTTGACTTGAGTTACCTCCTCCAGGCCCCTCATCTTGGCCTCCTCAGAGGCTCACCCTCTCTCTTGCCTCCAGAGCCCACTTCCTTGGCCGCAGGCTGCCCAGCAACCTCTGGGAAGATGAGTGGCTGCGGGAGGAAGGCCCTGACCCTGCTGAGCAGCGTCTTTGCTGTCTGTGGCCTGGGTCTCCTGGGCATCGCAGTCAGCACCGACTACTGGCTCTACCTGGAGGAGGGCGTGGTCCTGCCCCAGAACCAGAGCATGGAGATCAAGATGTCCCTGCACTCGGGCCTGTGGCGTGTCTGCTTCCTCGCAGGTAAGGGCACCCCAGGTTGGGACAGCCCTCTCCCAGAGACAGGAGCAGCCCTTGCCCGCCCCCGGAAAACCTGCCCAACAGCCCCCGTTGGGAAGAGATGCCCCCACTGGAAGGGGATGGCCCTCGTGAATTCTGGGTGGGGCTCCTTGCAGCAACCAGGGCCCATTCCAAACGTAAGCCCTGAGTCACAGTGTCCAGGAGCAGGTCCTGTCATCCCTGGGACCTGTGTCCCTCCAACCTGAGAGATGAATGTAGCCACGCCTTCCCCACCCTTCCCCACACTGCTTCCCAGGCTGAATGAGGCTGGCCTCCCACGGGTCTGGAACCGCCCTTGTGTGCCTTAGCCCGTGGAATTATTGATCTCAGTGCCTCCCCACAACACTCCAAGGCAGGACTTATTATTTCCACTTTACAAAGAAGCAAATGAAGACCAAGGAGGCAAAGTAAGTCTCCTTGACTCAACATTACGGGTCCACTCGTTTACAGAATGGGAAAGACTTGGCAGTTTCCCTGTTCCAATTCTGTGAAATGGGAAAGAGAAAACCCAGGTGTACGTCCTTCCAAATCTGCAAGATGGTGCAGGCTTTGATCCCACCTATCTGGGCCTCCCTCCAGTTCTCGAGGACGTCTCTAGAACCCTTGAGTTGCTATTCCAAGCACTTTGTCTTTATCCCTTTATCATGGCCCAGAACCAACCTGCACAAGAGGAGCATCTCCATGCTCTGTGAGACCGGTCACAAGGCTGAGCTGGCTAGAATCACCAAAGGGTGATCACTGAACCTTTCTAGAAGGGCCCCTGGCACTTTACATGTACACAGGACAGAGGGCGCATGTGGTCCTCCCAGCTTTATAGTGGGGCTTTGGAGAATGAGGGTGGTGATTGGCGCCCAGCAGCATCCAGCATGGAGGACACCTCAAGGCCTGGCCTCCTGGTGGCTCCTTGGTCTACTTTGGAAATGGCATCTGACACTGACCTCACCTCTCACTTGCCTAAACTATGCGGCATCAGTCTCTATTTAAATCTGAAGGAGAATTTGAAGTCACTAGGGTCTGGCTTCCAAAATGATTGAGAAGGCTTTGGGGGTTCTGTTCCATGACATCCCTGCTGGGGAATCTAAGCCAGCCATGTGCCATCATCAGCTGAGTCTATCCCAAAGCAACAAGATGGCCACCGGATGTGTCACTCAACCTCAAGTTTGTAGTGTGGACTTATTTTCATGTGACTCTTGGTGCTTGGGTCCACATTCACAGTGCTACTTCTCCAGGAAAGATGTGATGTCAGGAGGCACCCCCACCCGTACTGCGGGTCACTAGCCAGGGATGGGACCCCCGAGATTTAGATCCGGCCCAGGCGCAAACACAGTGGGCCAAAGATCCGAGAAGCATTTGGGGATACCATTTGAATGTATGAACTTCACATCCGTGTTCAAGAATCACCTGGAAATGCAAATGATTCTTGTCTTCACAGGTGAGGAGCGGGGACGCTGCTTCACCATAGAGTATGTGATGCCCATGAACACTCAGTTGACATCAGAGTCCACGGTCAATGTTCTAAGTAGGTGCCTCAGACTTTCTGACCTGGGTCACTGGCTAGACAGAGCAGGGCAGGGCAGGGGGAAGAGGCAGGATGACCAGCTTGCTTCTCAAGCACTAATGCCCTTCAACTCAGCAGGTGGGGTTGGCCTCAGCTCACCAGAGCTTGCTCTGCCGATTATTCTTCCAGTGGTGATGACAGCTTGCTGGAGTCTCCCAAGTCCTGTGGCCCAGGCAAGGGAGAGGGCATTCTGCCTCGTGCCTTAGTCTGTGTGGGCTGCCGTAGCAAAATACCACAGACCAGGTAGTTTCTGACCCACAGAAATTTATTTCTCTCAGTCATGGAGGCTGGAAGTCCACGATCAAGGGTCCAGCAGGATCACGTTGTGGTGAGGGCCCTCTCCTGGCTCATAGCTGGTGCCTTGTTTCTGTGTTCTCACAAAGAGGAAGGGGTGAGGGAGCTCCGTGGGGTCTCTTTTATAAAGGCATCGATCCCACTCATGAGGGCTCCACCCTACGCATCCAAACCATAGCACTCAGGGAACTGATGCAAACTCTCTGGCCCCTAAGAAGATTGACTCGATGGCCTTTGCCTCACCAGGGTCGATTCTGACCCCAGTGTGGGCTTGCCATACAGTTCTCATACAATCACCCCTTAGCCTTAGGCTAAGGACCCAGTCCCCCAACCAGACTTCCCTCATTTCCCACACCAGCTGGAAGTTCAGAAGACCCCCAAGGCCACCGGCTTTTCTGACCAGCTGGCTACAAGTCAGACGTTCCTGTGACCCCCTCAGGTTCAAAACGTTGCTAGAGCAAGTCATAGAACTCAGGAAAGCACTATACTTCCTATCACAGTTTTATTATAAAGATTTCAGATCAAGACCAGTCAGATGAGGAGGCACATAGGGCCAGATCTGGGAGGGCACCGAATGCCGAGCCTCCATGTCTTCTCCCCATGGAATCAGGATGTGTCACCATCCTGACACATGGATGTGTTCACTAACCAGGAAACCCAACCAGGCTTTGGTGCCGAGTATTTATTGGTTTTCGTTACGGAGGCATGTTCGAGTGAGCTGTCCACCACATGACTGAACACAGTCTCCAGACCCCTCCCCACTTCCCAGAGTCAGGCCCGGATCACGTGGCTCAAAACCCCAACCGTCTAATCACATGGTTGGTCTTTCCAGCCCCGTCCTGAGTCAACTGATTGGAAGAATCTCAGGGGTAGTCGAGGGGCCCACCATGAATATCAAGGACACTCTTCTCACTTGGGAAATTCCAGGGATTTGGAGGTTCTCGCTCAGGAACCAAGGACAAAGACAAGATACATTCATTAGGCAGACCATCCCCCAAGTAATTATAAGTTGAAGACAACAGAGGCCAGGAACTGTCTACAGCACCCCTCAGAGATAGATGCCTGTGCCCCTGGAGAGGGTGCATGCCCCCGGGAGAGGAAGTGAGGTGAGTGATAAGGCCCTTCCGCGGCTGCCATACTGGATGCCCAGGAGGGAGCAGTTTGTGCTGGAAGAGAAGACAGAAGCATGTTGGCAGTGTCAGCCCTCCCAACCCTGCCCCAGAGATGCAAACCCTGCCGGCGCTGGGAGATCCCCGGGCCACCCAAGGAGGGGATGGGCCCCAGAGAACTCATGCAGGCCAGGGGGCTTCGGGGACCAGTTGGCAGACACTGCCAGGAGCACCTGGGAGGGGAGGTAAGTAGGTAAGGGGAGGCTGATGGTGTCCTTTTGTCTCCTCAATTAGAAATGATTCGCTCGGCCACACCGTTCCCCCTGGTCAGCCTCTTCTTCATGTTCATTGGGTTTATCCTGAGCAACATCGGACACATCCGTCCCCACAGGACAATACTGGCCTTTGTCTCTGGCATCTTTTTTATTCTCTCAGGTAAGCTGTACTGTTTTCTTTCGCGCACTCTCGACACTTGACTCCTCCACGGCTCTGCTCTGGGAAGTGTGGTCACAGCTGTGGGTCAGCCCCTGGCACGGGAGCAGCTGAGTCTGTGCCCCAGGCAGAACTGAGTTGGAGTGAGGGAGGCCTCTGATGACCTCGAGCCCATCCATGACCCCCGGAGGAGGAGAGACCGGACAGGCTCACCTGGGGCAGAGCTGGGATTAGAACCCGGGGTTCTCTCCTCGCTCCCCATTGTCACCACCTCTGACTTCTTAGTTCTACCGACAATGAGCATTCTTATTTTTGAAGGGGCTATTTCTTCCTGATTTTGCATGAAAGGTAAGTACCGTCAACCTTTGGAATTATGGCTCCTTCACTCCCAGCCCTCAGCTATCGTCAGGAGACTCCTATTGTCCCCTTGACTTTCCAGTCACACCCATACCCAGGTCCCTTAAACATGAATCTGTCTTCCTGGAGAGACACCAGGTTGTATTTCATTCATTCATTCATTCATTCATTCATTCATGAATTATATCTACCAGGCCTTATTCTGGGTGCTGGCATCACTGCTCACAAAAACGTCAGCAGAGTGGGAGATATAAACAAGGAGATTTACTAATATGAACATAGCAGGACAAGCAAGAACTCCTTTGGGGGCCAAGAGCAGTGACTGAAATTCAGACCAAGGGCTGGTCAGGTAAGACTACCGGAAGGGGAGCTGAAGGATGCGTAGGAATTAGGTAAAGGAGTAAGATTGGGAGTGGAATGGAGAGGGAGCCTGGGGGAAAGAGAGAGGATGAAGCATTGGGGGCCTCACTGCGCCTTATGACGGGAGCGTAAAGTGGAATGTGGCGGGAGGCGAGACGGGACGCGGCATCTGAGGATTTGGGGCACTGTGAGAAACCTCAGAAGGGTTTTGAGCTAAGGGATGACGATATGATCCTATTTGGGGATTTTAAAATGACCACTCCGGGGAGTGGAGGGAAGGACGGACGCCGGACAGGGGCAGGGAGAGCAGGGGGAGGGGCTGTTTCGGCAGCATGGGAGGGAGGGGGTGGCGGCCCCCACGGAGGGGGGGTTGGGAGAGAGGAGAGAAATGGGAGGACCCAGGTGACGCGGGGAGATAAACTCAGCAGGACAAGGACTAGGCTTTAAGGGGAGCGTCAAGGAGGGTGCCAAGTTCTTGTGTAGGCAGTGGGTGAGTGACGCATCCATGGTTGATCTAGAGACCCCAGGAGAAGAAGCAAGTTTGGCCCAAGTTCATGAGTTTAGTGTGGGAAATGCTGAGTCTGAGGTGTCCATGTAACGTCTGGGAGGAGGTGCCCCGAAGGTTGCTAAAGGTCAGAGGCTTTGTGGAAGGGGCCTGGACCCAAAACAGAGATTAAGAGCTAACCTCTTAGGGCGTAGGAGAGGGAACCATGGGTAGGGATGCGGTCACTCACGGGGAGTGGCACAGAGGGAGAAAGCAAGAGAATGTGGGAAAAAAAGATAGGCTCTCTCTCCCCTTTAAGGTGACCTGTGCATTTTCAGGAGGACCTTTGCTTTTGGAGATAATACTTCAGACAGAAGAGTGACCCTCCGAGCATGTATTTTAGGTGCCCTGGACTCATTGACAAGGGAGGGCCTAGGGAGGAGATGCTCAGATGGAAGATGAGTAGGTGGATGGCTTGGATACTGGAAGGAAGGAAGGAAGGAGGGAGGGAGGGGAGTAAAAATAGCTCTTGGGCACCAGGTATTCTGATTGCCACCTGATTCCCAAGCCAGTTTAGGTTCCTTTTCTCAACATTTTCTTATCAGTATAGCTCCCTTCCTCCCTCCCTCCTTCCCTTCCTTCTTCCTTCTTTCCTCCTTTCTCCTTCCATCCTTTCTTCCATTCATCTGTCCATCTTTTTTTCAACTGACACACCACTCTTCCATCCACCCTTCCATCCATCAATCCAACAAATATTTATTGGGCACCTGCGACGTCCTCGGCCTGCCTTCTGCGTGGTGATATTTCCACCTAGTCTAAGAGGTACAGACTCAGGGGTGAAACTTTTCCTTTATCTTTCTAACTTGACAAGAGTCAAGGCCGTAGAGTAGCTTCGAGGCACCTGAGGTTTTTCCAGCAGCAGGCAACGGGATCAGAAATCTCAGAATGAACGGGGCCACGCGAAGTCGTTTTAATGATAACAACAGAGAAGGTTCCCTTGGGCCAGCAGTGATTGCAGCATGAGTTAAGTGCCAGGGAAGGCTCGAATCACACCTCTTTTCCTTTAATGTTCCTCCTTCAAGATGCCCTAGTTTAATCATGTGAGTGGAATTAAGCCCGAACAGCTCAAAACAGAGTAATTAATTATGTCCTAATTCAATGACAGGAACTAACCAAGGGACCGGTGCCTGAGGCAGTCACTTGCACAAGAGAGCAGGAGTTTGGGCCCCAATGGCCTCTTGATTTATCGCTTGCCAGAATCTGGACAAACTCACTTTGCCCCTCCTGCCGCAGCATTTCAGTATGCCGCCCCCATGGTCAGTGGCGCTGTGAAGACCGTGGGCCACTTAGTCTCCACCAGGATGTTAAGGAGATAGGGATGGGAGGTCCTGGCTGCCTCTGCCAAGGGAGCCTGTCTTATTCCTCAGTTTACCAAAGGCCACTTGCTAGCTCAGTGGTTCGCACCCTTAGTTCAACCTTAGCATCAGCTGGGGAGCTTTTAAGACAACCCAGTGCCAGGGCCCCCGCCCAGGCCAAGTGACCCAGAAAGTCCGGGGACAGGGCTCAGGCACGTATGTCTGACAGGTGATCCTCATGGGTGGGCAGGTGGGGTGATAGCCTTGGGGCTTCCATGGCTCAGAAGGTGGCTGGACAGGGAGCTTTCTTCCCTGCAACCATCTGCTTTCTAGAAGGTAACGGTCTAAACAAGGTCTTTAGGAGGAAAGCTCCTGCTCTCCTTCAAGCCCAAAATGAGGCTTTCTTCCTGAACCCCAAGGGGAGGTGGGTGCCCCATCAGCAAAGGCCCTGGGTCCTCCTCATTAAGCAGCCCCTTGCCTTGACACAGGCCTCTCTCTGGTGGTGGGCCTTGTGCTCTACATCTCCAGCATCAACGATGAGATGCTCAACAGGACCAAGGACGCAGAGACCTATTTCAACTACAAGTACGGGTGGTCCTTCGCCTTCGCTGCCATCTCGTTCCTTTTGACAGAGGTAAGCCTCCCTGGGCAGGCAGGGGGCCCCGGCCCCGCCCTCTCTGCTGCCCTTCTTCCTCCCAACAACGCTTCACTCTCCCGCCTTCCCCGGGCCCGCTTGTCCAGGACATTCCTGCTCTGTCCCCGGGCTTCAGCTGCTCCGCTGGCCGCCTCCTGTGCAGACCCCGGCCCCCAGCCGGGGAGCAAGGCCAGGACCCCAGCAGTGAGTGCCCCTCTGCTTTCTCCTCCCTGTAGAGCGCGGGGGTGATGTCCGTGTACCTGTTCATGAAGCGGTACACCGCCGAGGACTTGTACAGGCCCCACCCCGGCTTCTACCGGCCTCGCCTGAGCAACTGCTCTGATTACTCAGGCCAGTTCCTACACCCGGACGCCTGGGTCCGGGGCCGCAGCCCCTCCGACATCTCCAGTGACACCTCCCTGCAGATGAACAGCAACTACCCAGCCTTGCTCAAGTGCCCCGACTATGACCAGATGTCATCTTCCCCCTGCTGAGCCTCGCCACCTTCCTCCCTGGACTGTGGACAGCCAGAGAGCCCTTCCCGTGCTCCCCTGATGGCCTGTGAGCCCCAGGCCCTTGGTTGCCAGACCCAGGCTGCCCCCGCACTTCGTTGTTGTCACTTGACCCACGTTGTCTCCACAGCTTCCCCCAGAGTAGCTCTAACTGCCCCAGGGTGGGTGTTGGGGAGTCTGGAGCCAGCAGGCAAGCTGATTGGCTGAGAGCATGGGTGTAGCCCCACCTCTTGAGTGCCAATCACTGGCTGTTCCAGCTGTGTATTTGTCCCTACACACCCAACTTCACGGCCCCAGGCCGAGTTCTTTACACAGACCCAGCCGGACTTGTGTGCCTACCAACTAGCCTGGCCCTCCTGCTCATGATCTGGGCCATCAGGCCAAAAAGGTGACTCTCCTATGGAGGTCTGGCTGGTTCAGCATTGCCAAACAGTGTTCCTTGTGAAATCCTTTATCCTTGTTGGTTACCCACACCAGTCCATACAGCACACCTTCCTGGGCTCTCCCCTTCCCTCTGCCCCATAAGCTGTGAATCTTCCCTCCTCTCCTCCCACCAGGACTCAGCTGCCCCGGCCTTGGTCCCTAAGGGGTCCAGAGTGGGTCTGAAGCCACACTGATGAAGTCACAAAGAGGTGTTAATGGCTGATGATGTCTTAATATGTATGGCCCCTATAACATATTCAGCAGGGGTCTTTAATGCCTTAACCCAAGAAGTGACTCTGACAAGGAGAATTTCAGACTTTGGCTGTTCCGAGTTAGTAACATCAGGCACTGTTTCAGGCCTGGGGGATACTGTCCCTGCTCACATGGGCAGTATTTCCTGTCCAAGGCCCTGAAATCTAACCATGTAGATACACGTCTCTACCACCTAAGTAGAAGGCAGCTTTCAAAGAGGCTGCCTGGGATTTGGAGCTGGATTTGCCAACACTTGGTGCATTTTGAGTCAAAACAAGCCAGCCTTAGAATAATCTGGATGCCCATGAATATATGGGGGTTGTCATTTAATCCTAATACAGGGCAGTATCTGCTTCCCGGACTGGGGACATATGTAGGCAGCCAGAGGCTTCCAGAAGATGAGGCAGGGTGATGCCCATTTTCCTAGTAGCAAACCTGAGCTGGGAGGTACCAAGCACTTTCCATGAAGTCCACGGGATTGGTGGAAGGGCCACTGCAGGACGTGAACCCCCCCCACCACCCCAGTTCTCCAGGCAAGCTCTCAGTGTGTGCATTTCCAGTTATGAGATTATGAGTAGCAAAACAAGGCCGGGCTCTCCGCTGTGTGTTTTTAGCACGCCAGCTTTTCTCTCTTGCTCTTGCTCTCTAAGATAGCATTAGGTTCCAGGGTCACAGACCCACCGCGGGCAACACTTGGGCTCTGGAAAGCTCTACAGAAGACCACACCTCCGTGTGTATGGACTTGACTTGGACAAGATAGTCCTTAGTTTTCTAGAGCTGCCATAACAAAATGCTCCAACAAGAGACATTTCTTTCCTCACGGTTCCGGAGACCAGAAGTCAGAGATCAAGATGGCCGCAGATTGGCTTTCTTCCGAGGCCTCTCCTTGGCTTGCAGATGGCGTGTCCTCACACGGTCTTTTCCGTGCTTGTGTGCATGCCCTGGTGTCCACGTTCCCTCTCACCAGGACGCCAGTCAGATCAGATTAGAGCCCATCCTCAGAGCCTCATTCATCCCCTGTTTAAAGGCCCCGTCACATTCTGAGCTTCTGCAGGTGAGGGCCTCAACGTAGGACTTGGGGAGGGAGGTGCACGCAGTTCAGCAGGTACAGGCAGGTCACTTCATAGCTGGGTTATTCCCCTTGCTTCACAGCACAGTAGAGGGGAAGATGAGAGAAGCTGATTGTGGTCCCAGTTTAGCCATCACCTGAAAGCATGGATCCTTGGGCAACCCCATCTGCTCTGAGGGGCCTGGCCCAAATTATCCCCAAGCCACTCCCTCCCACACACCCGCCCCCAACTCTAGTGATTCAGCCTTGTGTAGAAAGCTCCAGGTTGCCATCAAATGTGACATTTCAATCCTTGCCTCGAAACTGATAGCGACCGTAAACCCAACCCAACTTCCCAGGCCATTGGCACCTTAAAACGACTGCCGTACCCTGGTTAACTGTTCACAGAATGAAACGGAAACCATGTTCTCCTCCACAGCAAAGGAATCGGTTAATGTACGTGCAGACTCAGTAGGCGGCATTTCCAAACTGGACGGTTTAGTTTAGACGTGCTCTTCTCCTGTTTTGGTCAATGTAATTACCCTCCTAAAATGCACTTTTCTGTCCCTTAAGCTCCCTTTCTCTGTCTCTGTGCCAGGCTTGTGTGTGTGTACAAGGAAAAAATAGAACCCACTCCTAAACATGAGCTGATTGTTGACTGTGACATCATTAGGATGAGCCCTTATTGGCCTGGAAGCTGGGCTGCTAAGTCAAGCACCTCGTGCTTCGGGAAGGTGCGGTTTATGCTTAAGTCATTATCTTCCCTCATGAGGGACAGGGGATAGATCAATCATTGCACAACTGTTAACAGTTCCCTTTCCGTCTATCCATTAATCTCAGAACCGGGGGCCTATTTGCAGCTTCTCTCCACAATCAAAGGTTTTAATCAAATATTAAAGTGCATAAACTCAGAAATTATAATTAGGGTCCTTTCCCAATGCACTTGCTGATCCCTTGTTTCTTCAAGCACTTGAAGAAAACACATTGAGATTTTTTTTTCTCACCTTCAAAAACTTGGAGAGGGAGGGTAATAAACTGAAATCTGATAAATTCTGGACTAGAAAAGCGCTCAGGGTTACCAGTGGTTGGGCAGGGATAATTCCGAAACTGCTGGTTCCCTCCCACGTGGAACTCACCAGCCTCCCCCTTGCCCCAGGGGGGACTCAGTGACACCCCCTGCCCCACCAGTTGGCCTTCAAAGGTCTGTTTTCAGGGCTGTGGACTGAGTTGTTGGGGGCACTGGGGACAAATCCATAAGAGCCACCAGCTTCTCAGTGATGGGTCAGGGGAGCCGCTCCTTAATGTTTGGGTAATTCTCTTTTCTCCCCGAATAAAAGTGGTGTATTAGGGTTCTCCAGAATTATACAACGGGATGTACATAGAGAGGTTTATTTCAAAGAATTGGCTCCCATGGTGGTGGAGGCTTAGCAAATCCAAAATCAGATGGAGGAGAGCAGCAGGCTGCAGACTCAAGGGAAAGTTGCAGTTTGAGTCTGAAGGCCCACCTGCTGGTATATATCCTTCTTGCCCGGGGTAGGTCAGTCTTTGTTCTATTTAGGCCTTCAACCGATTGGACAAGGCCCAGCACGTTATAAAGAGTGATCTGCATTACTCAGAGTCCACTGATTTAAATGTCAATCTCATCCAAAGCACACCTTCACAGAAACTGCCAGAATAATATGTGGGCGCCATGGCCCAGCCAAGCTGACACAGTAAATTAAACATCACAAGTGGATGAAGGGCAGAGAGTGGGAGAAATGGCATTCCATCTTAAGAATTGCACGGTACATTGGGGGGCGGGGGAGCGGGAGTCAGCCCAGCCAGGCCCAGCCGTGCACAGCCAGGCCCCGGGCTCTGTTCCTTTGCAGGCTGCCCCTCCGACTGAGCCCATCTTTCTGATGAGTGCATGGAGCTCGTTTGCACTTCCCCCAGTCTTAACTGGTATCCCACACTCAGGGAATACATGCTCACAATGTGAATACAACCCATGAGAAGTTTATTAACCTCTGGAACACAAACGCGCCACTTGGTGAGTGGGTACGGGTAAAAGGCTGGATTCCACTGAATGTGCCAGACATGCCAGGACCCAGCGTGCACTGCAAGTGTGAGCTCGGCCCTGACAGCAAGGCTTGGTGGCTGCCATGTGCAGAGCAGACACTTCCCACAGGGGTGGAGGGTGGTGAGCCAGAGCTGGGCCATAGCCCCTCAGGACCCAGGATGGGTGCTGGGGGCCTCAGGCCCTTCCTCTTGGCAGAACTACTGTCTCTGGATTCCCATCGACAACTGCACTGGGATCCTAGACCTCTGTTCTGTGACCTTGGACAGGTCACACCCTCCCAGGACCTGCCTCGGCTTTCTCGTGTGTACTAAAGCCTAATCTCCCCGTCTGCTTCTAAGCCAAAGTTTTCTGCCTGGGGAGCCTGTCCTTGAGTATTTGCACACAGCGAGCCCTCTGCTCTGCTGGTACCAGGGAGGCAGTGGGCCTGAGTTCCCTGCTGGGCACTGCTCTGCCTTCTGTGGGTGGTCAGCAGCCTCAGGACCTACATTTTTTTCATTCATTCATTCATTCATTCATTCATTCATTCATATAATGAGGGGGTTGGATAAAATCATCTTCAGGCTCTGTCTCCAGCTCAAAAGATTCTAAGTTTTATAGGCAAAACCCAACCGAGCTCAAGTGATGGATCCCCAGCCCCTGCCTCCTGCCAGGGGCACCCAGGTGACACCCAAAGAATGCAGAATTCATATGAGAGAGCAGATGTTTGGGGGGCCCCAAAGAAGAACAAGATTGTGTATAATGGAGCGCACATGGCAGGGCCCAGAGTAGCAGGAGGAGGAGGGGACGGAGGTCTCAAAGACAGAACTCAGCTGCCCCCTTCCTTTCTCTCAGCCAGAGGGGACAGGGGACAGGGGAGCTTCTCAAATCAACGTCTGCTTCCCTGGACAGCATTGTGGCAGGTGAGGCCCTGCTGAGCCAACTCTAGAGGTTCAAGAGCAGGTTCAAGGTCAAGAGGCACCACTTTCATGCAAAAGGAAAGGCAAGAAAGACCCTTCCCTGCTGAAAGGTGTCCGAAATGTGACTGTGTCTGTCAGGATATGAAAGTTTCCTGAGGTGGGAGTTGGGTGAGGGGAGGGAACTGACAGTTGCCTGGAAAAGCTCATCCTAGAAATGGTGTCAGGAGCTCAGCCGTGGCCTTGATTGGCAAACAAGGTGGTGGCCGGTTACCCCAGTGGACTGAGGGTTCAGGGATAAGACATGTAGCTTCCTTTGCTGAGTCCCAAGCCAGCCTTCCGAGGGCCAGAGGAAGGATCTCAGAGCTGAACCTCAAGCCTCCAGCTACTCCCTCTGGGCAAACCAGTGACATATTTCGGGCCTCAGTTTCTCCACCCACAAGATGGACAGCCTCCTCAGCCTCTCTTCCCTGGGAAGGAGTGAGCCTGAGTGAGAACTTAGATGGGAATCCTGGTGGTGCCCAGCGGAGCAGATGTGCTGGCTCGGGGCTGA